TCACTGCGGAAGGGGATTTAGCTGTCCTTCAGACTGCCTTGTAGACATTAAAAAATCGAATTGACAGTCCTTTTCTGTCGACATTTAAGTTTTTTACACGGGGCCGTACGTGGCTAAGTAATAGGAACAATGCACAGTCCATTGATGCTTAGGGGGTAAATATCTGGTATTTTCCAAATGAGGTATGTGTACCCCTGTACGGGACAAATAAACAAGCTCGGCCTTTAACCATTTTTGGAATTTTCATGAGGCCAAACGTGGCTACCTGCAAGAGGCAATATACTGTCATCTCAGTTTTTACACGGAAACATACTATGTCGACAGACAATGTACAGTCCATTTTGCATACATTTAAAACTCAAAGTTTATATTGATATGGTGACATTAATTAATATAATCCAAGATGTTAGCCAATATCAATATTTTCAATGGGATATAAGAAGCAATAATAATTATGATGATAAGTCTGCCTCGACAACCATTCAAAAATTCACACGAGGCTATTTGTCGCTATGGTCACTTACTATCTATAATGTTTTCTAAAGATTTTGTTCCATTTGGCTTCTACAATATTTTTAAACATACCGAGGAAGAAAATACACATACAAATTTAGTGTCCTTGTACCTAGCGATTGATAGACCATAGAGAGTCCCGTTCAGGAAATCCTAGGACTAAAAACACGAGAAGAATTAAGTTCAGACGCGATATTTAGCGTCCTATAAAGGGCGAAATTTAGTACTAAATTTCGCATGTATTAAATTTCTCTAGTCTCTCATACGATAATTAGCGCCCTTCAACGCGATATTTATCGCCTGATGAACACACAACATACGAAAATTAAGACGATAATTATCGAGGCGAAATTGTTAAATTTCGCTAGTATAAGTGTCTCTGGTCTATAGAAAGGGCGATAATTATCGCGTGAGAGACTAGCGAAATTTATGACATGCGATATTTAATACTATATTTCGCCCTTTAGATGCGATAATTATCGCGTGTTAACTAGCGAAATATTGTGGACGAAATAGGATTCCGTAAGGCCGAGCAGATTAAGTCTCCTCTATTGAGTCCAAAAACATAACTAGTATCATGTCACAACAATTAGCATGTTCTGTGTTGATGCCATTAGTTCATTATCTTGTTTGGAAAAAGAAGCATGCCCTCTAGAAGAATGCAGAGAAAATTTAGCAAACTGGAGGTTTATTGTTTCATTTTACAAGACTAATTATACTGTTCAAGGACTATTAGAAATTTAAAGTAAGCATGGTAAATTTTGCATTTTAGCTATTGAATGCTTTAATTTGCTACTGATCAAGTTCTGTTGGAAATTTGAAGGAAGTAGGTTTAGAAGTTGTTGGTTTAATGTTTTATACAATCCAGATTTGTTGCAAAGATAAATAGGGGCTTAAGCTCTCTTTGTTAAAATACTTACCATATTCAAAATTTGATAACAATGTATAAATTCATTTAAAACATGTCATTCAGTATGACGATCGATAGACAGATCTACTCTACACTCACAAATGTTTGTTCATAAAGCTGATTGCTGATATATTGTTTATGTTAACATTGCATCAATCAATCAGCAGAATCTGTATTCAGGTGATTATCTTAAATCTTTTGCATACTTCTTGTAAAGATTGATGTTTGAAATAACATCAAGCCTAATAGCTACAACATTGCTCAGACATCCATTGAAATAATAGATCTAAAAAAGCAATATCTTCAGATGTTTTCAAATGATAGGAAGGATTGATGTTAAACATAGCTAGCTTCTATAACGTGGTGACAAGACAGAATCAATGGCTTCAAATTAATCCATTTGATATACAAATATAGCAAGTTGATATTCTTTATCAAAATATGCAAAGTTTAAAGGTTCATTGTAAAATATAATAAATTTAAATTTTCTTACAAACGTATGGAAATTTGTCTTGCAAAGGATATTTATATATCAATATTTCATATAATATGTATTTCTTCTTGCAGCTTAACAATATAGTTTTCTTTCTTTTTTATGTTGCTTTTTTTTTCTTAGTTTAATCATGTTTTATTGTTCTGTATTAACACATAGGCATAATTACAGTCTACGAGACCAAAAAGTTGGACCAAACGTTATGCTTACACTATCTAGAACCCTTCCCTCTTTTCTCCTTATTAAACTATACGTACATGTATCATATATATTTTTGTTGATATGATTGTATATAAAATTGTGACATGTTGTCAAGTTTAATATATAGAGACATTTAGAAGTATAGTGATTTTGTCACTTCGTAGATTTAGTATTTATTTGTCAACATTAATTAATGAAATTAAGATTGTTTGTTCAAAGCGGCAAAGTTTAGTGGTTGAACGTATGTTTTGAATCTTTAACACAGTGAGAGTATGATAAACTGATTTAACGGGAAAGTATAAAATGACAAGATCTTGTGGATTAGATAAATCAGACATACCAGACTATTTGAAAAAATGGCACGATCTCACTGGAGAAAAAATATAACTTCAACCACTTAGCGTTCGTTGTTCAACACTGCACTTGTAATTTTCACACTTTATATATAATGTTTTATACATACATATTATATAGCAACGTTTAGATATTGCCTCTTCACTGATTTATCATTTCATATCAGTCAAAAACTAGACGTTAGTTTATACCATACGCTTTCTGATAGACAATCAATAATTCAACGAATGTTTATCAACATTTGAAACAGCAAGACGTGGAGATGATGGGAGAAGAAAATCTATATGAAACTAGTACAGCAATCGTATTTCTTCTATATACAGAAGATTGGTATCTAATTAGGAAAAAAGATTGATATCAATCCGACACGCTATATCAGAAAACAAAACAAAAACAAAGATATCAGGGTATTAAAACACATATTCAGACAAAATCTTACCATCTAAAGAATATATTTTAATAAACAAGCTAATTATTAGAAAGTCTAGACACATAAATCGGTACTATATGTATCAGAAGAAGTATTATTATTATATTGATAATTAAAAAAAGAACATAATTATTCTAGAAATATTTCAAACATAATAATAATAATAATTATAAATATAATAAAAGAACATAAGGGCTTAAGAAGATGTGTTCTAGACATGGTTCGTCTGTTTGAAGCCTATTTAGCAAATTAAATAAACTTGTTTTGTTTCAGACAGGAAAATCAATTTTCTAGAACCCCCTATGAGCATAAATATTTTGATAAAAATAGATATGTGTTCTTCTTCCTTCGAAAATATCGTGTTAGCGTTAATTTTATTGACCATTTCAACAACACTTAATTGATAATTTTTACAACATTTGTTTACGCAAATTGAAAGCATGCAAAACTCTGTGAGTTTTATTTACATGTAATCATTATTTTTCTTTTGTTCTAGAGATTGCATGTATCTAAGTACTTTAGAAATACAAATAACAAAAGCAGATGACATATTTCAGATTGGATCTCAAAATGTAAACTGTGTACACGAAATACTGTGGAATATGAATATCATTTTACGCTATCTTGTAAATTATACATGGAAAAATGGCAAACGTATATTCAGAATCTATCAGTCTGTCTTAAATATTTTTTCTTCTTTAGTGTTATTAAAAGTAAATACGAGTATATATCATTGCAAATATGTAAATACTTGGAGAAAACAATTCTATTAACGGTTTCAAATTTTATCGAGATATTGCAAAGATATGAAATAAAAGTAATGTGATTTCTAGTAATAAATATATTTATTTGTTCAATATATTGCTATGTGAGTTATGTTATTTCTATTTTATGTTTAATATTAGTAAATATTTCAAATATATCTCAAAAGTAATGTTTTACCCCGACCTTCAATAAGAATTGAAACTTTAAAAACTTTAATAATTCTGTGATTTCTCCTTTATTAAACTCGCCCTTTATGTTCTACAGACAGAGGCAATCAGTGTTTTTAAAATGGTATAATGTCCTATTCATTATGTTTTCAGTAGAACAAGCTTACAAATGGGTAGATAAGGAAATTTATTTAAGTAACATATTCAATACACCTTATTCTATATTACAGAAAAGTCTGCCTTACAAATAGTTTCAGTCATAATCGTAGTTTACAAATAAGAATGTTTTTTTAAAAGATCCAAGATGCAATGGCATTTGTACTAAATAATAAATATTGCAAAATATTTTGCAATATATTGACAGTCCAAGTGTCCGCAGTTACAATATTTATATATGCTTTACTTGAACTACTGGCGGATACTGATTACAACCATGCGTCTTCACTGCTCTGTATTTATTCTAAAATTTTCCCTAAAAGATATGAACAGTTTTGTCCAGACTTAAATACTTCATATATCTAACGTTGCAAGAGTTATAAATGTTCTGGACACTCTGATTAAGTTTGCCTTCAGATAGTCCAAATGTCAACCCTACCATTTGTGAAAAATAGAGTTCATATATTCTATATATGAGCCGCGCCACGAAAAAGACCAACATTATGCGTTTGCGACCAGAATGGATCCAGACCAGCCTGCGCCTCCGCGCAGTCTGATCAGGATCCATGCTGTTCGCTTACAAACCCTATTACAAGTACAGAAACTGATAGCGAACAGCGTGGATCCTGATCAGACTGCGCGGAGGCGCAGGCTGGTCTGGATCCATGCTGGTCGCAAACGCATTATGTTAGTTTTGTGATGACGCGGCTCATATCATCATTTTCAACCCATACAACGTTAAATATTTTAAATGGATTTGTCCATCACTTATTCTGGACAAAACAATTCATCCTTTTATGGTGTATTTCAAGTCCGATTGAATAGAGATGAAATGAAGACCATGGTCAGGCGGCACGGGTGTTGCCAAATGATCATGTTATGCACTGGCCGTATAGGTAGAATCTGTTAACACCAAAGGGCTAAATGCTGAGCATCGTTCCGTCATACATCATTAAACATAAACAATGATCAATGAAAGTATCTATAATATCAAAAAAAGAATGATACTTACATGATTTATTTATCTGTCAGTATTTTCAGCATCAAGTTAAAATGTTCTTTATTCTGAAGGACCAAACTGAAAATGAAATAATTTCAAACATGTAGAATAACGCAAATATAAAAATTTGAGTCTATGAAATTTGATAGATTTTAATTCCTATACCACTGTCAAATAGCACGACAAAGACATAAAGGCACCAAGCTTTAAGTTTTTCTTGCCAATGAAAAGACCTCAACAGACAGTACGATCTATTTGAACGACTCTTAATATAATAGATAAGATGTACAATTTTCAAAGCAATACAACACTTGCATCCAGACAGTAACTCTGCACTATAAGAATCATCATGTTTACCTCAAGAATATTAAACTCCAAATGGATCACTTGCTGGATTTTGACATGATTACTGGAATATGTGTAAATGTTAAAATCGTTGATATTGACCAAACAAAAGTTCTGTGTAGATAGAAAGGCGAGAAAATTTATGTTATAACAGTGCACTTCTTGTGTGACTAAGCACCCTAAACCTGTTCTGTAGCTGTATATTGTTCTTTCGTTATAAAAAATCTCTAATTAAGAAAAAATACCAGCAATGAAATTCTTCCATTTTTAAAAACTTCTATGTAAATGATCCTTTTTTAAGTAATTCAGGATTCGAACAATCCATAAATCACCCCCCCCCCCCCTCACTGTAATGATTACATTTTAGCCATAATTGTTCAGATATTTCTTTCATTACACCGATATCGGGTGATAATTTGGAAATATGTCACTTGTCATTGTTGTGGGAAGAAGATCTGTACAACAAGAATTACAATATAGAACATGTCTTATCCTGTAAATCAGAAAATTTAGGTTTTACAAATTCAAGAAATAGCAACCTTCACACAAGATTTTCGTGTACATCTACGTTTTAATTGGCGTTTTACTTCTAAGTCATATCGTCTGCTGAGGCCTTAAGGCAACTTAATTAATTCCTTAACATCATTATACAGTCGAACGAAATTTTGAGGGATAATTGTTTTAGAATTAGATCGGGGGAAAATGTTCTTTTGATACAGTCAATTAACCTAGCGTATGTCTCAGGGAACAATTCTTTTAATCAGATCAAAACGTTTTTTTTCCCCCTTAATTGAATAACGTTATCGTTTCATAACGTTTATGGTAGACTTTGGTCTATTAAGTATATTGTATTCTGCTATCTATCATATTAATAAAAAGTTTGTGACCGGAGATAACTACATACTTTCACATTAGAAACACGTTTGTTTTGTAAACTAAGCTATAATGTCACACAATACGGGTAGATACGGGAACTCATAACTTTAATATACAAGAAATATCGGGTAAGTCACGAGGTTAACACGATAATCGATAACTGACAATATCTGTATACCATTTTAATGAGCGTTTACAGGAACCAGAAATCAGAAGCCTCGCAATCACGATCAATGTCTCGCTCATTAAATTTAACCCCCGGATAGTTTTCAAGTTAGTGTCTGGAATGTGTCTCTACATGGTCATTATTTTACGTGACAAATTTCCCTCTACCGCAGACGACATGCATAATTGATTCTTTATATTTAATCTAGCAAGGTCCTATGTCATTCTTTTTCTCGAAACAATTTCTTCCAATTTTACTTAACTTATTCCATGGAAGGGAACGAAGTGTACTCAACGCCGAACGAAAGAAAGAGTTAGTCATGCATGTAAAAATGCAAGGAAAAATAAATATGTTAAAACTTGTTGTCCAAACATTTTTGCCTTTAAGTGTGTTTGTATTTTTTCATTATAATTTTATGATAAATTCCTGACTATGAAAACCATGAAATATATTTTACAAAATTATGTTTTCAAACATTTAGAATTATCAGTTGTTTACCAATAGCTACCAATAAATACAATTTGCATAATTTATATAGCTAACTTTTGCAAAATAAGTAACGCTATCAAAATTTACTGCTATTATCACTTTAAGTGAATTGGTCTGACAGGAGATTCTTAATACCATAAATAATTATGTTGATAAATTTCAGTATCATACGTGAAAACTAACCACAAAATAATTATATATACATGTATTTGGTAAGTGTTGGATACATGATCCAAAGTGACATATAATCATATATAGCGGATAATAAAGCGTTCAAGAACAAAATGTTATTGGTCAACATATATAATATTATATGTTCATACTAAACCACTTCAAAACCCTGTCAAAATTCAGTTTTCCAGAAATATCTTATAAGAACATCCTAATTATATATTTCTATTGTTTTTTATCAGCATTGTATTATGAAATAATACTTTGAAAACATTTCCATTGAAGAGCAATGCAAATGCAATAAGAACCTTAAATAGGTCAATGAGAATGTGAATATAAAACCTTGACAACATCCGACATCATTTGGATGCAAGAGAAAACTAAAAAGTGAAATTATTGCCTAATACGACAGAATGTATGAATCCATCGATTTATTAGTATAAAAAAACCTTTCATTTCATGAAGGGAATAAACATTAGAATTAAATTTTCATCCAACATACAACAACTTCGTTCGTGTCCGTGAATATTTCGCAAATACGCGAATAATTCAGCGTTTTGTGAGTTACCTGAGGATTAAAATGAATAGAAAAAAGTTCATATTCTTTATAGCTGATCTCTTCTTTAAAAAGGATTTGAAATATTATTAGATCATATTTGACGAGGTATACGAACGAAAACAGCCTTATTTAAGAGGTCAGTATATTTCTTTCTTTAATTTGGATCGTTAAATTTAAGTATACATGTATATAGTTCAGACGTACTATACACATAAATGTGACAAATTGGCCGTCATATTAATTTTCTGCAGTATTTCGTACCACCTATATCATGACTTAAATGGCAAATTAATTGTTTTTTATCGCTAGATATTGCGATTGTGCAATAATCGAATGATTTGAATGGTAACATAATATATATCATGTTAACAACTTGCACAAATTGTATTGGTATATAACAAGAATGTGTGGTAATGTGTAATTTACCCAGGTCACCATCTATTGTAAGTTCATACATAATACGATAACCTCAGAATCTTGTTAATCGTACTTTTTATACTAAATGACCGTACTTACAACGTTACCTAAGTAGTTAAAAACATTGTGGCTTAGGAAAAATAACTTAAGGCACTGATTTCATTTGTTTTTGCCTTGAGCAAGATTTAATAACAAACAAGAGAATCAACGTAAAACAAAGTCACCATCATCCATGCAGTTATGTAAATATGTTATTTGCAAAAACTTTTAAAGAATAGTTTCGAATAGCGTAAGATAAATAAGAATGGTCAGTATGTATATTTTCATCCTTAATTGTACTTAAAAATAACTAACCTGGGCACCAAACTAATCTAAAGTGGAACCCTTGAGGTTACAAGCCATTGCGCGTGTTGAAGACGTAAACAACTTCAGTGCCTTCAGTGCTTTGATTTCATAATCATAGAGTTTATCTGAATTATAAGCACCAATTGAAATATTATTTGGCATCGAGGGCAACGCACCTAATATTTCATAGCTAATAAAGATAAATTTAGTTTTAAAAATGTTATTCAAAAAGAGTTACTTGAACATGGTTTCTAAAGACTTAGTTCGTCATGATAAATCTGCAAGGCACAGTCATGATGACTTTTATTTGATAGGATTGGCATTAATTGATTCTAAGGTATTTGAATTTCTATTTGATATAATTATCATATTCGAAAAGCATAAAACGTAACCACCTCTAAAGTATTCATTTAGAAATGGTTAATTTTGAAGTGGCTTTTTCATACCTTTGGATTACAAGTCAAAATAAAAAAGGAAAATAACTGTTTAATGATAATTTAAGAGTTATTGGGTACTTTTAAAACTGGGTCCCATTTTATGCTAATTGTTAAAATGTATTATCTAAAATGTTCTTGTTTGTATCATATAAATATAAGAAATGAATGTGATTTACGGCTTTTATGCAAGGGGATATACAAAAAGGTTTAATGTATACAAGAGCTATAAGACGGATACTGGGTTTGAATTCTCGTGGCCATATGGATAAAGGGTTCTGATCAGTGATATATAATTATGACTGTTTGGTTATGTGTAATTTTGAATTAGTGATTTTTGACACAACATCTTCATATATCTTCATATTTGTACCAGGAAATATATAAATGTATGTTCAGTAATGGTATAAACTTCATTCATTTAATATCCATGCATGCTAAAAATATAGCTCTTTAAAATGGTTTTTGCCCAGATTTCATTTCGAAGATACTAATTAACTTTCAAGTGAAAACCTTCAGTGTTTCATGAAAGTTATAATTATGTAAAACCTCAATAAAGTACTGCGCCTACGCCACCTAATTGTGATATGCAAAACAAAAAACACCCAACAGTGATCAGGAGAACGTGTTCCTGCTTTTTTGTAAAATATTCAATTCTTAGATAAAGAAAAGTAGTTCCAATATAGCGGATGAATATCTTAAACATGGATTGATAAAAATATATCTAAACGAGACCATAAATGACAAGCCGATGATGAGGACTATATTAATATGAATAAAAACAATGTTTCTTTTACAAACACCGACAACGAATATAGGGTTAATGCGCCTTTTTGGTGCATTAATATCTGCAGAAGCACAATGACAAATTTAAAGCCCGAGCTGGTGTGGAATTAGCCAACGAATATAAGGTGAATGCACCTTTTTGGTGCATTAACATCTGCAGAAGCACAATGACAAATTTAAAGCCCGATCTGGTGTGGAATACGCATAATTCTTGCATAAGAGTGAGTGTCTGACCTGAAATTCCGCGTTTCGTTTGTACCTGTTTTTCGTACGTAAAGGAAGCGGTTCGTCGTGCTTTTCACGTGCTACAGCGATGTTATTTGACAGTTATGTTATGATAATGTAACTGCTAGCTTTTTTTTACATCGCGCACGAGTCATGAATATTAGAAACGTGCAACAACGGCGCGTGCTCGCGTGATTTTATCGGTTAAAGCACGTTTTCTTCTACTATGCGCATATTTAATGCAAGAATAATGAGTATAATTTCA